ATATATATATATATATATATATATATATATATATATATATATATATATAATGCCAACACCACAACAATAACAACGACAGGGGACAAGGGGATTGGGATACACAAATGAGTGAAGTGGAAGTCAAACGGTTGCAATGGATAATGGTAGATCATAAGATTAACAGCAATTTTTGACGTTTCACCGTACAGTTTTTGATAATTTTGTCATCGGTTTTTGTTTTACGGAGCACGGGATTTCAACAGGCAGACCGCATAGGTCAGGTCTCGTAACCGTAAAGCAGAACACTACGATCCGCGGAAATTTACACCTTTCACTTAAGGAACAATTGGATATCATGCCGAAATCACAGGTATCACAGGTTATTAAAAGCTGCTCTAGCTTCCGCTATTCGTGGTGTAATCTCCCCAACACCATCTCCAGCTGCGATCAAACTAAAAGTGTGAAGTCCTTCGCCCCGTTCGCAGGAGAGAATATGGATTGTCAGCTGAGAAGGAAACGTAGATCAGTCAAACAAGAAATTTGAAATTTAATCACATTAGAGCCGTGTGGTGAAAGATGTGAAGACCTCAGCAATTTTTCGTTCGTCGTGTGACTCGTGATTATATCTCGCGGGTCCTGTTGGTTGGTGGTGTTTGTATTTTCCCTCTCTTCAAGGATAATCTCCTGCCCGTCGACGGTTGTAACCCAAGTAAGACTTGACCCACATTCGGCTGGCTCGTGCATCCGTTTACATAGGATATCACCCTGCACACTATGAAGAAAGTTTCAAACTTGGCGCCTCTTTACCGAGAACATATTAGTTTGCTCTATTTAACCGTAGCAATCAATCGGCCCCCAGTATGATCGGAAGTGTGTGGTTTCGTAAACGGATTCAGCTATTCTGAGCTCTTTAGAAAATAACACTTCCGAAAGCCTCATTATGGTTGGGGGATGGGTTGAGTAACACAGCCAAGAGGAGACACTGAATAAGTGGAAACAAAACCTTCCAAATAACGTTTTTGTAGCTATATCTGTTCTTTTGTTTCAAACTGGTGAATAATTTTGTGAAATTAATAGGTTTTCCAAGGTCATAGGATAATTTTTCGGGTCACCAATTAGGCCCTTACAATGACCACCAGAAAATAGAGCTGTATTTTTTTCACGCTCTTCTATGATTCTCTAATGGTCCAATCATGCATTAGATTCGCATCTGCGATTTGGACAGCAAAATAGACCTTGTACACTCATTTCCTTAATTTTCGTCTCCACCAGACCGTTTCGACCGGAACACCCCTTCCCTCTCCCCTCGCTCCGTCTACTTCCGGAGTCTCGAATGCTCTTGACTTACACTTTCTTCGGTTCACAGTAATGTACTGCATTTACTCCCCAAAAAATGGCCACTATTTGCATTCTAGATCCTCGCTTGTGAAACCGGAATTTTCTGGTGATGCAGCGGGAACTATGTTTTTGTTTTGCTCCTAAATAACAATGATCTTTATTGCATTACAGAATAGAAAAACACAAAAGCAATTATCGGAGAGGCGTGGCCAGTTAGAAGCAGTCACGGGACATCCAAATGATTAAGTAATCGCGGTCGGGTCTGAACACTGAAAAATGTGACGTATCCGACTGATGTAAAACAAAATTTAGACAATGCACCGCTAAAGGCAAGCACGATAGAACAACAAAATAGATGAGGGGGAAGATCGAGGTTACTGACTGCGGTTAGCAAGGTGGAACAGACAATCCCTTAGCCAACCAGGGGATAAATATCAAGATCAATGCGTAATTTGTACACCAAATGAGCAACAGGACGCTTACGATTGACGAATCCCAGGAGTTATAATTGGATCATACCTTCGAAGAAGTAAAACCCGGTCTTGAGGATACCCCATCAAACAGGAACATAAAGCATAAAAACTTATACCACTGACCAAAACTGCTGAGAAATTTGAATTCTATATAGCTCATACTTATCCGTAAATCAAAAAAGGTACTTTTGTAGAATCATGAATCTGTAGAAGCAATCATCCAAAGGAATAGAAACTATCCAATATCATCACAAGCTTCAAGCACAAATCAGGGGCTCAAAATCTATCACTCGCCCGGGGACCATAGCAATACACGAGTGAAGGGCAGAGAATAAATCAATGCACCAACATATAAAGGACAGTAGCATAAAATGGTAGGTAAAGTTTTTTTGCAAAAGCCACACAACTGATGCGAATTGATAAGCCATGTTCTGTTACGCGGTACTAATTCCAAACGAGATAGCCAGCAGGATGAAGATAGACTGCGATGAAAATTAGTGGGGAACCTGATTTAATAGAAAGTTAGCGAAGGAAGAATGAAACCAATGCTTGAAAAAATACCGTGAAAATGGCCTAGTGAGTAAAGTGGATAAAACCACATCTGGATATGTTCTCAGTGTACAATGCTCACACAATATAGAGAGCAGTTTTCGTAGAATGATCAAATCACGTCTCACTCACTTCAAGTTCAGCTGTCAGCTGACTAGGATCAACCTCTCTGAACAGAGTTTCCAACGAGACCAGCTGAATTTCGTAGCTAAACTTTCCAATGGCCATATTTGCTTTGTGCTTTTCGAACAGTTTGTCCGGTTTGATTATGTAAGCCATTGCGACATTAGTTCCGATACATTGTTCCACCACCTGCGGTAGGAAATAGAGGCATTTCATAAACGTAGTTGCAAAATATGATATGGGCATATACTCAATTTGAAACTTTAGTGGACTCAATAAAGCTTGAGTTAAGAGATAAGGATCGGATCAACCAATTATACCACCGAGTTAGCTGACGTTTTATTATTATCGCTACCAATTTTTTTTATCTTTGGATCCAACTTAATTGTTTCTACTTAAACCCGACGGTGTCTTAAGTAACCACTTATCGGGTTTACAGTCACGTTCATGAAGAATCCTGGGAGAAACTTGGTCTCGCATGCCACCAGTAACCGAACATTTTGGTTCCTTATAAAATCAATTTGTCGGATTTTCTATTCTTCACCTGCTTATAACCCCTCTGGTGACCTTGTATGTCAATCGCACGAAAAAGCTGAAGTTTTGCTTACCGGTTGGACTCCAACTTCATTTTCTTCTTCTACCTATTTTATTAGCAACTGGCGTCTATCTTTTCTACCGCACTAGGAAAATCCGCTGTATAAACGCAAACAAACCACCCGGTATTCCATCCGTCGCCCTTAAGTGTGCTCCTGAGTCGGCTCTCATTTTAAGTTGTATTTTGTCTTGCCCTCAAACTTTTTGCTCTCTCGACGCCTTGGAAACACCATGGTTTTTACTCAATAACTAACGATTCATTTCCCTCACATCTGTTCTTTCGAAAGCATTTTCAACCACCCTCTCCGACCAACTACGCACAGTCCTCGAACCTAAAGGACTACTGAAAGATCGCCAGTATATATTCCGGCAGCGCCGTTCCACCGGTGACTTGCTGGCTCCTGTCTCAATCTTCCTCGGCTGCACTCGATAGCCACGGAGAAACACTTCATCTAGCTTGATATCTCAAAGTCCTTCGATCGAGTTTGGCACAAAGGTCTACTGGCGAAACTGTCCATGTTCAGGTGTCCTCCGGCTCTTCTCTCGTAGATATCAGGTTCCCTCAGTAAGCTAATCATCTCCGTCCGGTTTGATGGGGTTGTATCTCAGCCGTTCCCCAAAGTGCATTACGTGCGCCCACTCTCTTCTACCTTTCAATAATATCCTTTCCAAAAGTGCTAACCCAATCCATTGGAACAGCTGGGGCAACCACAATCACGTTGTACGCGAAGCTTCTAAAGCCCCTCTTCTTTTGAGTTCACTAAAAAACCAGTCGTCCGTCTCACCGCCTCTAACCTTTTGATTCCACCCAACTGCGCTCCACAAACTGTTAGTCTTCTTGGATTGTCCATAAATTCTTCCTTATGCTGGTCTCCTTTAGTATCTCATCTTGCTGCCGTGCTGCATGTAAGGTTGGTTTTTTATTCCGAGCCAGACGTTTCTTAACTCCAGCTCATCTCCTTCCACTGTAAAAAGCTCAAATCCACCGTGGTCTTGAATATGGCAGTAACGTGTGGGATGGGGCTTCGTTTTCTTGTCTTCACTTTCGTGATCGAATTCAACAAAGAGCCACCGGCTTTCTCTGACCTCCAATAGGCAGTCAGTAGCCCATCGACAGGCAGTTGCTTCACAGTCGTTTCACTACCGTTGCTACTTTGGTTGTTGTTTTCGGATCTTGCATCGGCGGTGCTTCTTCATGTAACTTTTACCCGCCCATCCTGTTTCAGTTTCAGCTTGTACAACCATCCTGTACACTGGTATCTAGTTATTCTCAGCAAACTTCGGTCACCAGATGTTGTACTTGTCTACTACAATCTTTTTTCCTGAAGCGCCAAGTTGTGGAACACCCTCACACTCTGTCTTTCCTTCAACCTACAACCTTACACTCCTGAAACGCAGAATCAATAAGCTGGATTTTACGTGAGTGTTCCCTTTTAGAGTATGCCCAGTTCGGAAGGGAAATAACACTGCTCCGATCTGGTGCCCGGGCAGATTTTCGCATGGCAAGCTGCTTTCCACTGACGCTGGCTTTCGATGAGCAGTCGAACAGTTATTATTGTTGTTACAAACGTGTCGCGCCCACAGGTAAACCATGGAACTTCTTTTGCTTTTTCATGAAGATCATTACACCGTGACGTTTTGTACATGGTAGACTTAGGCGTGTAATAATATATATGTACATGAGTTTGTAAACATTTGGTGGGAGGCAGCTTTGCTGTCGTCCGGTTCAATACCACA